AAGCTGCAGCTGGAGAAAGTATATTTGTGTACTGGGCGGGATGGCTATGTGCCCTTCTTCGACCCCACAGGCACCCTGTATAACGAAGGCCCTCAGTATGGCTGCATTCAACCGAACAAGCACCTCAAACACAGGTTCCTGCTTCTGGTATGTGTCTATTGTAACAAGCCCAGACCAGTTTAACCGGTCTAACAAGGTGTGGTTATGTTTTAACTGAAATACTTTTTTTGGATGGGCATTTTCAAGAGGTATTTTGAAGATCAAACTCTTTTTGTATACCTTGGAACTAATATTGAGACGACCACTGTAATACGATTTTACAGGGGAAAGTTTTAAAGATGCAATTGAAATAAGTTAAAAGGTGGGAAAATGATGGCAATGATCAATTATTAACTAAGAGAAAATTTACAGTTATCCATTTTCAATAAGCCCTGTGATCAGGACCCAGACACCAAGCATATACATAACATATGATTTAAAATACTGTATATATTAATTACATTCTATATTATTAATTACAGTGGGTAAGATTTATTTGAAAGAAGTCTCTTATGCTCTCCATGCCTGCATTTATTTTAAATAAATAAAAAATATAATATTGTGAAATATTATTATTACAATTTTAAAATAACTGTTTTCTGTTTTAGTATATTTTAAAATGTAATTTACTCATGTCATGTGATGTAAAAATTTCTCAAAGCTGAATTTTCAGCAGCCATTTCTTCAATCTTTAGTGTCACATGTTCCTTCAGAAATCATACTAATATGCTGATTTGCTGCTCAAGAAAGGCTCTCAAAGCAAAGCACTTGCGTCGCTACATAAAATAGAGGTTAAACCAGTGGAGTCACATGGATTACTTTTATGTCTTTACTACCTTTTTGGGGCTTAAAAAAGTGGTAGTTGCATAGCTGTCAATGGTGGGACAGAAAGCTCTCGGATTCTATTAAAAAGATCTTAATTTGTGTTCCAAAGATGAATGAATGTCTTGAGGGTTTGGAACGACATGAGGGTGAGAGAATTTGATGACAGAATTTTCATTTTTGGGTGAACTATCCCTTTAAAGCTTCCACTAAGAAAGACAATCGGCCAAGACAAACATGGCAACAGCATTACAATAATATTAATATTACAATATCCTCTGAGGTAATTTTCAGTACATACAATAACTGCGACACAAGATGGCGCAAGTTCCGGTTAAGCGGGATGATATATAGCGTTGCCATAGGCGACAGTGAATATTCATAAATTATAGATAACATGATGCCATGATTGACCAAACAGAATGAAGTATTTCAGAGAGCCATGTAATAATTGTAAAAAATGTATCGCACAGGACCGGAAGCAGCCTGATGTTTGCGAACGCTACTTCCATGATGTTCCCTTTGAGGCCAACTTTGCATCTGACATTCCTGACCTCCAGTCCTTGTCTGCGATGCCAGGTGTAGACGGCTTCACAATGAAGGTTGATGCCCTTTATAAGGTCAGTGGCTGTAAGATTCTCCCAAAAAGTCAAGCTGTTAAACAGACCTTCTCTTTGACACATACTAGAAATCTTGGCAAATGTCAGAGCCAAAGCTATTCAATTGTACCCTTCAGGGAAATTCCTTAATCTGTTTGTTCAGGGAAAATTGCCAGACTAACAGTCTGCCATGACTATAGGGAACTTGATTAAAGGACAAGAGCTTTTTTCTTTTTTTTTTTGCGTTTATAAAAAATCCTATTTGTTGCGTTTACTCTTCTTCAGGTTGAGGCTGGGCACCAATGGTACCTCCAGGTCATCTACGTTATTGGACCCGAGTCCATATCTGCTCCCAGAATCCAACGCTCGGTGACCTATGAGCTCAAGCGAAGCCGGCGAGATCTGGTGGACCGTTCAGGTCGCCTAATGCTGGATGAATCCCTGATCTATGACAATGAAGGTGACCAGGTGAAGAATGGCACCAACATGAAGACCTTGAAGCTTGAAGTGGAACCATCGGGCACCTTCAATCCCCAAATGGGAGGATCCATTGGGGGTGGAGTGGCAGCCTTCGTCCTACTTTTCTTGGTCCTTCTAGCTTTCTGTCTCATGGTCAGGAAGTGCCGCAGGGTTGTAAAAAAGAGGTCTGAGAAGGTGGTGGAGGATTATCCTCTGAACACGAAGGTGGAGGTCTGCATAGAACGTCTGGAGAAAAACCTCAACAGCAAGCACTGCTCTGTAAGAAACGTCAACGTCCTAAACAAGAACACTGAGACCTACAAGGTCAATGGGGTCAAGGTCAAACAGGTCAATCTGGAGGTCAAACTCCACAACAACCTGAATGACGGCACTGAAGTCTGACCTTCTAGAATATTTGAGAGAAAAAAAAAACATTTTCTATGAATATTTGTAATGACATATGATGTTAATGTATTTTTGTATGACCATGAGGACAAAAGGGAAAGTATGCTTGCCAGCTATGCAGTGTAAATCATTTCACAACTGAGCTACCTCAAACACAAATGAACAACGCATAATGGTGTCTTTAGATCGTATGTTTCCAATCTCAGTTTCAAATCATTGCTGTGTATGAGGATCACACAATGGCTCGGTGGTAGCTCAGCCACTTTGTTTAAATGAATGGAGAGTTTCTATTGCTGCATCTGCTTTTTTATCAAATGTAAAAACACATGAAAGTATTAAAGGAAGGATGAGTGCCAACGCTTTGGACCGGGCGAGTGATGTAAATACGTTTATTAAGTGCAATTATCGGATGACATGGTCATCTCTGTATTTTGATCTGGTTTTGATGCTCTGGCTCATTGTGTAATTTACTTTTGGCCTGATGATCACCGGTGTGCCATGTTGATATTTGTCAAGTGCGATATATTTAATTCCAAATCTAAATAGACTGCCCAAAGTGACGCATTTATTAGTTTGTGTAAACCTTCGGTACTTGCAGACAAGAAACCAAATGTTTCGATTAGCTGTATGGTTATATACAGTAGATCATAGATTTGATAACCACTATTGATCACTATCACTATTGCTGTCAGTCTGCTGACTCCATTTAAATGCTGTAGCATCTTATATTTTCAAACACTGGACAACAAAATGTATTTTTGTTTCATATGACTGCTGTCTGTACTGATATAACCAAACACTACCAAATATCTTCGTTTTTGTTGTTGTTGTTTTTTAAGATTATTCACCTCATGTTATCTTGGATTATTTAGTTTTGTATTAATGTCACATCATGTATTAGGTAAGGCACATGTATTTGATTTTATTCACTGTATAGTATGTAAAAAAAAAATCTGTAATTTTGTATCAAGTCATCCGACATCACATGGTGCTAATTTGATCAAGAATATCCAGAATCTTTAAAGCACTGGGAGTGGAAAGCATGGCAAGTACTATGATTATTATTTCATACTGAGTCATCTCTCTCTCTCTCTCTCTCTCTCTCTCTCTCTCTCTCTCTCTCTCTCTCTCTCTCTCTCTCTCTCTCTCTCTCTCTCTCTCTCTCTCTCTCTCTCTGTAAATTTGTTAAGTTTTGTCCATTGCTTAGTGTCTAAGTGAGTGCCTATCAGACAAAGGAAAGTTTTGGAGATGTCAGTTTTTGGTGCTATCATTTATGGTGGAATATCAACATGATGCCTGTACTTGTGCCTTTTTAGCAATTAAAATAAATGAATAAACTGAATATTCCTAAATTGTGTCACACTTTGCTCAAATTGAATATATGATTATTGAACTTTTCATCAATTTTAATTTTAGTTGGAGACTTTATGAAAGTTTTCTTTTGAATTATGTTTAAAATTCATAGCAGCATGTTATTCACGAAGGGAGAGGCTCACTAAGAATCTTTTGAGATCATGACATCATGTCTTAAACCAGACAGAGGGCCATATGTCATTTATTAGTTTGTATTATGAAGGGCAAAGATGATTTAAAAAGTATAGAAAAACTGTTTGTAGCACTTCTAAGTGTTGGTTTAATTAGCATTACTTATGAATTGGATATACAACCCATGGCCAGAAGATTTCATTTAAACTAATTGCTGCAGTCAACCAGGAATCAGTGATAATATGACAGCCTTTATTGTTGTTGAGTCTTTAAAATCTCATTCAGTCGTAAGAACTGTATTTTTGCAGCTGTATGGCCTATACCGTAAAGTGATATTGAAGAATATTGCTGAATCCAAATTTGTATTGCAGGATGGCTTGGTGAGTTTTGCGCATGCTTCCTCTTCCTTCACAGGAGTGGTGAATAAACTAGTTTTAGAGCATCTTGGTTATATTTCATATTTAATTAATTTAGGTTTGACCAGTGCTAGTTGTCACACTTTGGTCTCCACTGAATATTTATCAGGGTTTCATGAAAACTGTCCCAGCTGTCTGGTGGAGAAATACTGTAGCCTAGGCTATATCATATGTACCCCACAGTTTATTGCAGCTAAAATAGAAGCTACTGAGTGAGATTCATATTAATTTAAGAATCATATTTAAAACATACGTTTGGTTATTGTCTCGGTCATAAATGTTGCAATTTTTCTTTTGAATGAAATGGCAGCTCGTTGGATATTCACGAAGGGAGAGGCTCAGTAAGAATGCAAGTCTTTCTTTTGTGACGATGTTGTCACTCACGCCCTGAGGAAGCAGGTGAGAAGTTAAACCAGATTTAGGGCCACGTTGAGTGTAGATTTGTATCGCAAAGGTAAGTGCAAATTTAATAAAAAGTAGACAAAAATGCAGCTATCACTTACAAAGCTAAATCTTAATTAGATTCTGATCAACATAACTTCAGCTTTAGATGTGCAATCGATGTCCAGCAGATCGAGATACAGAAAGTGCGTTAATGTGATAGTCAGTCAGAATTTCTGACTCAGAAATCATGATAATTATAGACTAGTTTTTATTGTTTTTATCAAAACGTATTTATTCTGTAAAGTCTTTACGATCTATTTCCGAAGGGAAGTCGTTTACCTGTAGCCTATTTAAAAAGAAAGTGAAAAATAATGTAATGATACTGAAATGTAAATGAATTGTTTATCACACTAGAATCCATCAACAACAACAAAATGGCAGACTTGTGGGTAAGTAAAATCTTAAAGCTATTCACTCATCCCTGAAGGTGATGTTTAAGTATGAATTTGAATTTAATTTCTTATGTTACAGGAAGAATTGCAAAGTGTTGCGAATTCTGCTCCCTCTTCATTTACAGCAGCGGTAAAACAAACAAACAAATATCTTTGCTTCAGTTATTTGTGTGTGTGTGTATATATATATATATATATATATATATATATATATATATATATATATATATATATATATATATATATATATATATATATATATATATTAGGGCTGTCAAATGATTAATCGTGATTAATCACATCCAAAATAAAAGTTTTTTTTACATAATATATGTGGGTGCACTGTGTATAATTATTATTTATATATAAATACACACACATGCTTGTATATATTTAAGAAATATTTTCATGTATATACTGTATATAGATTTATATATAATTTATATTATATATAAATATTTTATATATAAATAATATTTTTTTCTTAAATATACATGCATGTGTGTGTATTTATATATATACAAGATAATTATACACAGTGCACCCACATATATAATGTAAAAAAAACTTTTATTTTGGATGTGATTAATCGTGATTAATCATTTGACAGCCCTAATATATATATATAGATTGATTAATTGATTACTCCTTTAGCCAGGGGAAAGGGGTACCATTAAAGCCAAAGCTAGCTTCAACGTCAGTGAAGATGTTGCAGCTCTCCGCAAAGCAATTGAAGGCATAGGTACATACATAGCCTACCTGAAGTGCATTATATGTATATGTTTATTTATTATGTGTAGCCTACATGAGTATTTATTTATGGCGTTGTAGTCTTGTTGTTGCAATCTCTTTGTATATTGTGTATTTTTGAGAATGAATGAGTTATATCACCAAAACATACCAGGTACAACTGAGAAGACGTTGATTGAGATACTGACCCACAGGAGCAGCAGTCAAAAGCAGGCTATTTCAAAGGCATACCAAGAAACCACAAAGAGGGTAAAATCTGCGTACTTGCTCATACTTAATTGTGTATGCCATGTTATATGACGAAAACCTACATGATTTGTTTGTCTTGATCGTAGATTCTTGTAAATGACTTGAAAAGTGACACCCAGGGCAACTTTGAAAGGGTGCTTGTTGCGCTCGCAAGACCTCCTGCAGTCAATGATGCTAAATGGCTAATCAAAGCAATGAAAGTAAGTTATGTTTCCCAGTTTTTCTTTTTGAATATTTTTTGTTGTTGTTACAGTTTATCAATAATCTGAGACAAATTTAGCTGCATCTATGTGAACATATTTTGCATGTTATTTACCAAATGTTTGTACATATTTTTCATTGTTTTCCTAATACATTCATGATGTTCTCAGGGGGCTGGAACGGACAACAGTATCCTGATAGAAATACTTTCCTCACGGACAAATAAACAAATCAAGGAGCTGTCTGCAGCATATTCTGAGGGTGAGATGAGGAATATTGTAGTATATGTCAAATATGTAAGTTACAAAATGGTGTTATAATTGCTTCTCTTCCCATTTCCCTATAGAAACAAAGAAAACACTGATACAGAACCTTAAGGGTGAAGTTTCAGGACATTTTGGAAAAGCCATCCTTTTGCTTGCTGAGGTGATTAAATACACATGCATAGCGGTTTATTCTAATGATTGCAGATGATACTATGGAAATTGAAGATATTTTATTTGTCTCTCATTGTTAGGGTGCGAGGGACGAGAGCACCAATGTGAATGCAGATCAGGCTAAAGTGGACGCAAAGGTACAGAAATATCAAAAAAGTTCCCGTTTTATATAATAACTGATCACCCTGTACTGAATTAATTCGTTCAAAATACTTTTTCTTTAGAATTTCAATGGGTAAAAAATCAGTCTATGGCATAAAAAATAGTATATTTTGTGCTGAATCTTGAATTAGGATTTCTTAAGACAGGCTTTGATATATCGCAAAGTCTTGATTTAATTTGCTAGTCACAATGCCAAGATATACTGTATAAACAACTACGCACCTCAATCTCTCACCATTTTGTCCTTATTATTATAATTAGACCCACCATGATGGACAATCATCAAGCCAAAACTTGTTCACCTGTAACAACGTTAAAGATTATGTTTTCTTGTATCTATCGATTATATGTGAGATGTATCTATATGTTCTCTGTTTTCTCCAAAGGCCCTCTATCAGGCGGGCGAGAAGAGACTGGGAACTGATGAGTCCAAGTTCATTGAGATCCTCTGTAAAAAGAGCATCCCTCACCTGAGACAAAGTACCAACATAATCATCAATATATAAACACAAGTGTTTCATATTGGAACTGAAATGGCAGGTGTGTTTTAAATATAACTTGACATGTCCGGTTGCAGCAATATTGGAATATAAAAACATCAGTGGCAAGACTTTGCAGAAGAGCATCGAGAAGGAAATGTCAGGAAACCTGGAGGAGCTGCTTGTTGCCATTGGTATATTTTAAATTATGAATTATTATGAATGCAAATACACAAAAAGTGTATTCGAATATTTGTTACATTTTTTACCTCTACATATTTTTAATCCAATACACACTTTTCTTATAGTAAAGTGTGTGATGAGTACTCCTGCATATTTTGCTGAAAAACTCTACAAAAGCATGAAGGTACTGCAAGAAACACATTATATTCTATCATTGTGTTTGTACGACTCTGATGTTTGTATTTAAAATAGGACTATGTTTTATATTTGTGAATCTGCAGGGAGCAGGTACAGATGAAATCACTTTGACTAGAGTAATGGTCAGCCGTGGAGAGGTCGACATGCTGGACATCAGAGCGGAATTCAAGAAGCTCTATCAGAATTCACTCAACAAGGAAATAAATGTACGTATTCTCTGCTGATATAAATGCTTCAGCACAGGTTCAGGTCATCTGCCATCTTTCTTTGAATTGAGTAGTACCTGACCTCCTGATCCTCAGGTTTATTTAATCATGCTCTCAAGAGATGCTAAAATACATTAATAATATTTGGTCACTAGAAAAGTTCACAAGCACATGAACAAGTGGAGGATTTGACACAGTCCGTTCCTTAAATCTGACAATGAAAATGCAAATGAAACCCATATTTTGGTGATGACTGATAGTTTGTATCTGATGTACAGTCTGTCCTGATTGTCTTAGTGTTCATGTGGGTGACTTTGCTCTCCTTCATTTCAGTCTGATGTGTCTGGCAGCTACGGTGAATGCCTGAAGATGATTTGTGGAGGAGAAGACTAACCCAGAAATACCACTGAAGATGGCCTGTTTAGTTCTCTCACAATAAGTCGATACATTGTATCCTGTGTGGCAAGCCCTTCGGATGTTAAACTTTAAATCTTTAATAAAATAGTTTTATTTAATAACATTTGTAGAGCTTTTTTCAGGAAATATATCATTCATATGTCTGGTTTACTGCAGCAGGTAAAGTTACATTCATATTGATTCATATTTAATGGTAGTGATTAGTGAAGTTAAAAAAAACAACAACTCCCAGACAAAATGATTTAGATTAAACCCCATTGGAATTCTGATAAATCATGATTATTAAAAAAAATAAAGTACTGTGCAAATATCTGCATTTCAGTCTTTTTTGTAAAAAAAAAAATCTTTTTACATATTACCTTTTTGCCATCTTGTTTTTCATACACTACAGCAGAGTGTTTTTACATGCTGTCTGGGCATAATAGTAAGATGTTTTATTCCACTTATTGATGTCTTAATCATTGGCCTTCTTTCCATGTCTGTTTCTGTCTCTATTATTTAATTCAATTTACCTGCCGCATTTTAATTTCTAAGAATTTATGGCACAATTTGCCAGATGTAGGCCTAAATGTCATTAAGTCCACATGGCTCCTGCTTGAGGTTTTTTTTTCTGAACTTCCCCTTTTCATTGCACATTTACTTTATATTAAATTGTAGCCACTAGCCAGACTTGTAGATAGTGTAGACCTAGCTACCCCATTTTTGGTAAAAAGAAAAATTGGACCTCAGTTATTTAACTCAAATATGAGTATATGACAGTAGATTCTACTCATGATAATAATAATTATAGTAAAATCACAGCTCCCAAAAGTTTTATTAAACATTGCAGGGCTCGACAATAAGGACTGCCCGAAGGCCCGGCGGCAGTGTGAACGACACTCGGGACAGTTGACGGAGATGATGAAAAAAATCCTTAGCGTTGAGCGTTATGTAGCCTACTATGTTTGAAAAACAACCAAAAAAAAAAATAATAATAATAATTGGTTATCTTCACGTATTATGATGAAGATAACCAAGATATATGGGTGTTCTTGTGATGTGCACATCGTTGAGTCATCTTTTCAGGGAGTTGCCGCTGATGAAACTTCGCACAGTCAGGGGAGTTGATCTGTATTGAGGTGGAGAGGTGCCTGAGGGAGCAGCAGATCCTCATTAATCCCATGTAATAATCCCAGACTCGACCTACATCTGTAGCTATTATCAGATAGGCCTAGCCGTCACATTTGTACAAGCTTTGTATACATTTCGTATTACAGCCCTTGACATTTTTATTTTCTAAATATCCCAATTTAAATAGTTTACGGTTTTCTTGTGTAGATGATCTGGGCACATTTTAAATATGATTGTTATCCAAAAATTAACAATATAAAAGTTGTTGATCCACAAAATGTGAGTGGTATGAACATTGCAAAAGGTACAAATCTTAACATCTAACATGTACAGTAATTTTCTGGGATGAGGAAGTACCTGCTAATTTTGCAGTGTTTGACCATTAGAGGGCAGGCAGGACATTTTCGTGAACTGTCTGACTCTAACAGACGTACCTATGAGGACGCTCAAAGGGTGTTGTCAATCCAGACTGGTTAACATCACATGACTGTCTCAATCTGACGTAATCTTTCTAAACATTGTAGCTGTGTGTGTCCCATTTCGGAAGCTGCGTCCTCCGGAGGAGGCATTTGAAGGCTGCATATACGTCATCAAGGCGTCTCATTTAAAAAAAGTAACCAAGTAAGAAAGAAATTACAGTATTTTACACCTCATGAGGAATAACAGTAAATTTTATTACTGTTACTTTTCTTAAGACATCCTTGATGAAGTATGCAGCCTTAAAATGCAACTTCCGGAGGACGCAGCCTCCGAATTGGGACACAGTTTAAATGAGCTGAATCAGTCTCCTGTTTAAATATATATTAACTTATACATTTAATTATGAGTATCATGTTTGAAAATTATAGGTGGGAGATACATGTATAGATTATTATACAATAATAACAAAAAAAAATCTAACTCAACTTCATACTTATTTGAAAAATATTTATAGCTAATGTATGCAATTCATTAATACAAGGAATGCTGCACGGGGTGTTACTTCAGTATCTCTGTGCTCTTTGGGTGTAGGGATGGTTCCACTCATAAGAAAAAACAATCCAAGGCACTCGAGTAATTCTTTTTTAAGAAAAATATAAAAAGTCTTTATTCTTTCACGGCTTAGATTTTAAAAACAGGTAACAAGCTACGGCACCGGCTTTTTAATATTTTTTCTAAAACTTAATTACTCGAGTGCCTTGGATTGTTTTTTCTTATGCATGCAATTCATTATTTTGCACTTTAGAGTGTAATCTCTAAGCAACTTACTATGCAAAACATCTGCTTTACTTTTCTTGAATAGGGTGGAATATAGGGCATGACACTTTTTAGAAGACAAATAGACAGTTAAAGGCACAATATGTAGTTATTTGCCGCTAGAGGTCGCCTATTCAAAACAAAGGCGTAGCTTGACAATGCCAAGATTGAGCGTGGAATCATGGGAGTTGTTGTCTTCACCTCACAGCCGGTGGAAAAGAATCCGACGGGACTCGGCCCTCGGGCAGAAATAATATTCATGGATGAGATTATTAACATTACTGTAGTATGAAGCAGAGCAGGGCCGAGTGCTGTGGGAGCAGAACGAGGCCGCTGGAGCGATTTCTAATGAGAGACGAGCGCGAGACACGCCTCGAGAGCAGAGGAACTTTTATTATGCCGCTTCCGCTTCTTCAGGTCAAGCATATGTGGGCTAGCAGCGCTGTTTTATCATTTACATTTGTCTGTTGAAAATGATGTTATAACGTGTTGTTCGCTCGGCGGCTGCTATGAGACACGTTGCACACTGCAGTAAGCTAGATCGATATTAGAATATCATATTAATAAATGCTGGGCTTGTATTGCTAAATGGCATGCAATTAATTTGAAAACATAGTGTATGATGGAGAAAATGCTGCATGTTAGCCACTTGATAAAAAGTGTTTTTCTCTGAGGCATGTTAAAAAACATGGTACTTGCGGGAAATCAAGAAAACAAACGATTCAAACAATAAGAGCAGAAAACAGCAGAGTGGAGAATTTTTTTTTTTTTTTTTTTTGCATTTTCAAAATTACAGAGTTTGATATCAAGTTCTTGACACATTTCTTTTACAGATTTTCACATTTGATAAGTATAAGTTGAAACAACAATAATTTGGAAAAAAAGAAAAGAAAAGAAAAAGAAAAAAGATAAAGGGCATCTCAAACATATTAAATTCATTTAGCAGAGATACAGATCTTTGGGCTTTTCGATTTTTTAAAAACTTTAAAGACTCAAAATGCTTGTCTTCAAATTCATTAACCATAGTGAAATGCTCAGATAGATGGGATGATGATGATGATGATGATGATGAAGATGATTACTTCAATGTATGTTCTGTTCTTTTTTTTTTCTTTTCTTTTGCTACATTTAGACTGTAATGACCTTTCAGCCATATTCATATAGAAACTGCATTAAGACAAGAAAGCATTGCATTTTGCATTGCATTTGGTGGAACGGTGAATGTGTGGATGTGTATGAGCTGTATAATGTAAATCTGGAAGTGACTTGAAATTGGAAAAAGGGCTTGATTGACAAAATAAAAAAACGACAAACCATTGTTATTTCCTTCTTTTTCCACTATCTTCATACAAGAAAGAATTGACCTTGTAAATGTAGCTTTCATAGCTTCCATCTCCTCTCACTTAATTGCCATAGTTAAATTCCATAACATGCCAATTACATGTGATACCAATTTCACATGTTCGCACATATACAGTTCTTGCATAATTTCTTTTTTTAGTTAGTTGTAGTTATTGCCTTGATAATAGAAAATATGAGCTAGGCATCATGTATGACAGTTGCCAAAGTGAGGTATAATGACCAGATCCTGCCATGAGCTATATAGGAGTCATGTATGCACATATAGGGCTTATATGTGGATAAAAAGAAGCAATACAGGAGACCTATATGGCCTGTATATGCACATATATGCACCTCAGTTTTGCCTATATGTGCAATATATACGCATATATGCTGTATATATGAAGCATATATGTGCATATAAACTGCATATAGGTTTCATATATGCGCATATATCCTCATATAGGTTCTTTCCATGTGGGGTAATGAGATTTATTTGTCATGCCAGATCCCACCATGCTGTACAAAAGTCCACATAATGGACCCCTTTAACATCATTACAATAAATAAATAAAGGAACGTGATATTTTGGTAATAATCGATATTGCTAATTAGTTTTCTTATTTAATCCACATTTTAAGGGTAAGCTACTTTTCAAGTCGTTGATTGTATACCAAATAATAGTTTCCAATAATTCTCACAACAACAAAACGTTGGATCTGTGCATCTGATGCTTAAAAACCGTAGGACAGAAAAGTGGACAGTATTCGTGGAATGTGCCAGTTGCACTACATCAGCACCTCACACACTCCCAATCCATTCACATCTTTCAACGGACAAACACATTGGTTAAGATCTTTATCAAGCAAACTGACCAATAAAGCGCAGGCAGAGACAGTCATCCGTGCCATCCCATCAGAGAAGAGCATCTACAGGACGCGTCAAGGCAAGCTCACACCAATCATGACAATAGGAAGAAATCGGACAAAACAAGTTAGGTTGTCAGACAGTCGGATTGGGCGATAACAAACCTCCCACCAATTCTCCGGCGAGTCACGAGAGTTCGAACTTTATCAGTGTGACTGGGGACTTCCAGAGCACGAGGACCCGCTCTGCCGTTTAAAAAGAAACAACAAACGCTGTTCACAACACCAGAAACGATCGGCCGCTCGGAGGTTTTCGGGGTTATTTTCTAGTAACGTTAGTACTTTTTACTATGATACACGGTGTCCTCTTCAAGCAGATAGAGGAAGCCAATCAGCTAGCGAGCTGGCTAACTAAACTATCCAAAGGGGAAGTGGCAGCAGTCATCGTTTAAGAGTTTCGCTAGCGTAGCTTCCGCCTAACACACCCACTTTCTGCCTATTTGTTGTTCACATTGGTTTCAGATAACCTGGACTTAAACCAATTTAAGCTTTCGACTGAACACAAAAGTATGCTTTGGCTAAACAGAGCGTTTCGCCGTTGTTAGCCAGTTAGCGAGGCGAATTGTCTCTCCAGCTCCCGCACAGGCTCGCTAGCCAGCCGTTACTGGAGTCGGCCTTAAAACACAGCAGCGTGGACGTTATCACTCGTGCTGTTGTCACTCATTAACGACGAAACGCTTGCCCTGACGGTTTATTTCTATGCAGTTTCTTCATCGGGCTTTGGGGGAAATAAGGAAGCATTCAGCTACGCCTTTCTGCGTCCCTCGAGCACTGAAGTGCCTGGCGCATCTCGGGAGAGCAGCTCTCTCAGCATGCTGGACAAAAGAGCGGAGATGAGCAGATTGGCGTTTTAATCGTCTTTGGTTTGATTGGAACTGTCCGTTTGGGGAAGACGGGAACACAAGAGGCAAGAATGAAGAAGTTTTCGCGTATGCCGAAGTCAGAGAGCGGAAGTCTCGGGGGTGGGTCTGGATCTGGTACTGGAAGCAGCAACTACATCGGGAAGGTGTTTGCTGTCGGTCGATACCAAGTGACGGTGGAGGAGCTGATCGCTGAAGGTAATGGATGCATTTGTTAAGGCCAATACAAATGAATGGCAAAACCTACTGGTGAAGTGTATAAGAGCCCCCCAAACCCCACACACATCTGTTTTATAGAGCAATGAGCAGTTCAGAAAGGATGGTCTGGACTGGCTGTTTATTGTAGGTTGTACTTCGCCATATCAACGCTTTAAACAGTCATTTAGCTCCTTGCCGTGAAAAGAGGAAGTATAGCTTGGTGCTTGTCCTTACCAGAAATTGATTGAGAGATTATGCTTCCATATAATCTAATGTCATTTCTTGGCTATGTCGCTGTTACTGATCACGTGGTTTTGGATCAGGAGGTCTGGGGCTGGTCTGATCCAAATCTTGCCCTAATGTTTGTCACTGCAAACCAAACAAAAAGAAGTAATGTCCTTCTTAAAAATCTTCTCCTTGTTAAACTTTAAGCACAATAGTTTAGTGAAAAGCTCAGGACCAAACTTTAAATTGTTTTATTGCCATAGTACACTTTGCCATGGCACAAAAAGATATTGAGATAGCAAAACAACGTTTATCATACTGTTATTTTACCCACTCTACAGGGCACAGTTTTTAAGTAGATTAAGAGATTTTTTAAAGGGATTAAAGTAGTTTGATTTCTTGATCAATAATCTCCCCCGGACAGTTATAAACATTGTATAGTTGCACTTTTATCTTGCTCAATTGTTGCACATTAGTTAATAATGACATGTTCAACTGCTAAGTAGAGCTGTCACGATATCTACTTTTTGTTGTGCGATATATTGCACCAAAATTAATTGCGATAAACGATATTATTGTAATTTTCAGACCATTTTATGCCACTGATTACATAATGACAATATAATAGCATAATAATGCAAATACACTGTTTCAAAGAACATTTTATTCTTAATCTATTCAATATTTAGACATTGTGAAATGTGAAAAAATATATCCCAAATAAATAAAACAAGTAAATAAATACACTTTCGTTAACAAAAAAGTGCAAGGTATAAAGAACTAGATCAAAACAAAGTAATATGTCAATTTAAACTTTTAAAGTGTCTCACACAAAGGCACAGATGCATCAACAGGACATTTCTGCTGTCAGATTCGTTTTTTAATTGTTAGGCAGATTCCGAGAAAGGAACACCAACATGTTTACCTTGTGGGGCTTAAAGGAGAACTCCGGTCAATTTTAACATTGAGCTCATTTTTTTGGTAAATTTGGAGTGCTGTCAGTACAGAGAACAACGACAAAAATCGGTGTTTCCTACACCGTGTTATCCTTTTTAAAATGTGCACACTGTTGACTTAAACGGGTCTAGTTTTAAACCTGTTAACATCCTTGATGTGTCATTTTAAGTGAACAGCCATGTGAGTGATGTTATTCATAGTGAACACGGTGAAAGATATGAATAAAGATGTGAAAGATATGAATAAAAATGATGTTTATTCAGCCAGCTCACATACCCGTATTTACTTCCTGTTTTCGGTCGAAGTCCACAGTAGTCGATTGTCGAGTTCGCGCGCGCGATCATTGGTAACTATTGGCGCTTTTCCACTACACAGTACCAGCTCGCCTCGGCTCGGCTCGGCTCGACTCGACTCGCCTTTGTTTGGTTTTCCACTGTGTAAAAGTTGTACCTGTACCTGCTTTCGGGTACTTTTTTTCGTACCACCTCCGGCGAGGTTCCAAGCGAGCTGAGGCGAGCTAAGCCGATACTAAAATGTGACGTGAAAACAATGCCGACTGCTGATTGGTCACAGAGAATCTGCGTCATCATTGCACGCGCCAGATGGAGTATTTTAAATAGTTTGGCCAGAGATAGTTACTAAACTTACTATTATGGCAACTCGGAAGAATACGCCGTGGTCAAACGAGGAGGTGCAGACATTCCTTTGTTTGGTTGCCGAAGAAAGGATCCAGCGAGAGCTTGATGGGGCAACGAGGAACGAAATGCGTCGCTATGACGACCGGGTACTATTTGTGGCGGTACTTTCTGCAATGGAAAACGGAGCGAAAAGCGAGCCGAGTCGAGGCGAGCCAAGGCGAGTCGAGTCGAGTCGAGCTGGTACTGGTAATGGAAAAGCGCCATAAGATAACTAATGATCGCGCCCGCGAACTCGACAATTGACTACTGTGGACTTCGACCGAAAAAAGGAAGTAAATACAGGTATGTGAGCTGGCTGAATAAACATCATTTTTATTCATATCTTTCACATCTAACGTTACTGCAGTCAGATTCACCGTGTTCACTCTGAATAAAATCACTCACATGGCTCAATTCCATGTTGGACTCGTTATTCCTAACTGGCTCGCTGTAGATGTCGCAGAACACTTTAAAATGCAGTTGGTTCACGCCTTCTCTTTACCTGACGGTGTCTCTCTCTCTGTGTGTGTGTGTGTGTGTGTGGGGACACGCTGCCTGAGCCCCGCCTCCGACACAGAGTGCAGACAAGATGACAGAGGCAGCGCGATCAACTAAAATGTTGGTGACATTCATTGTAATGTAAAAATAAATCTAATTATTATTTTTAATAATAAAACAAATTATCAGTTGCAATATATCGCGGCACCAAAAATGATCGCGCTCATTTCCATATATCGTGCGATAAGTCGATATATTGACTATCGCGACAGCTCTACTGCTAAGTTCAGTATATCCTAGTGGTAAGTCTGTTTTAGTGTTTTGCTCAGCATTATCTAAAATATAAAATACATCATCGTTCTCACAGTTCTGTCATGTAATGTGACAAATACTAGAGCTGTGTGTTTGTTTCCCATGTAGATGTTTTCAGTTCTGTGAGTTTCACTGAACTTGCTGACTGGACACAATTATTTAATTTGCCTTTAGTGCAAAAGTTCTCTCTCACAAACAACAACTGTTGAGTTGAAGTGCTTTTATTCTTACTTTCTCATTGATTTGTTTTATTTAATGTTGTTTTTTTAATATAAACTTGTGCTTTATCAAATGGTTTTCTCTTTGTTTATACTCTTTCTCTTTGTTTTATGTTATTTAAAGGTGTTCCTTAAAATTGAATTTGTCCATTTGCACAAAATGACAACACAAGCTCAATCCTATAGACTTTCTTCTATGGAGCTTCTAAGCAGATTATGACAGTCACTTTTCACTTTTATTTTATGGTAAAAAATGTAGGCTACATTTACACATAGCCAGGTATTTAGAGAAATTAATACCCCCCCCCCCCCCCCCCCCTCCTCCGTTTTCAATTATAACATAGTGCACACAACATCGTTTTCGAAAAAGTTGTAATTTAGGCTACATCAACCTGCATTAAATATGCCGTCGAGCGCCATCATAACTATGCCAAACTGGGCGCTCACATGACATTAAGCATTTTCTGACGCATAATGTGACGTTTGAGAACCTAAAACCCCGTTTCTCCCAGTTGACACAACAACACATAACCGGCATTATCAGAAATCTCCAGAGTTTTTAGAAATAATCGTTTTCTGTGATTAAAAACAGGGTTTTTGTGTAAATGAGAGGCCAAACCAAAGGGAAATATCTGTGTCTTCCCTTCGTGTAAACGGGGCAGTAGTATGGATGAAAACTGAGAGATTCTGTATAACAAAATCTTTTGTATTCCACAAAACAAATTCATGTGCTTCTGAAAATGGCAGAATTTTTATTTGTTTGGAAAATCACATCCACATTATCTGCATGCTGTTCAAGTGATGGATAGGTGGTTTGTGGCCCTTCTGTTGTTGTTTGACCACCTGTAAAAAGTATGTTGGCTGACTTGGCACAATGCAGATCACGGTCCTATGATGGAAGTTGCTTCTTTTGTGTTTGCTTATTGAGCCTGACCCTCTTGAATGACCACTATGCTCCCTTTTTTATTATTTCAATAAATTATTTCAAGCAACTCATTAGAGACAGCTGGGGAGTTGGCAAAGGGTGGCTTGTCATTTGGACGAGGCAGGGACTACGATTCTGGATGGGTGGTTAATTCTGTCATTTGCTCCCTGTAAAGTAGCTCTCAAAGAGCCTGTCCATGTGATAGTAGTGTAATGAGATGTTTTATGAGGCTTGAACAGAAGTCTGTAATGCAGTAAAACAGCTGATTTTTCACCTGTCGGAACAGAATAAAAATCTTTTGTCTTAAATTCTCAGAGTAAATTAGCGGCCGTTCATGGTTTTCGTTTGTATTAAATGCAAAATGCGCCAACAAGCTTTGTGTGGTCAATATATCCAGCCACCTGCTCACCTCTTTGTCAACAAACCCTGTAAGAACTGCTTTCTTTTGTCAACAAACTGCTCATGACTTCTGTATTTTCCCCTGTTTCACTTCTTCAATATGTGACTGGTAGAATCTGCTTTGGTCTTTTGATCTTTTTTTTTATAAACAAAACCTATCACTTGACACCACCAAACCGGTTCAGAGCTAGGGCTGTAGCGATACACTAATCTCACGATACACGATATTCAGCTCACGATACGATATATATCACGATATTCAGCCAACGATACGATTCGATACGATTCGATATAATTCTATACACTTACATCATTTTCTGAAAGATTTAAAGGGGACAGAGTGATTTTGGTGACATCTTGTGAGTGTTCAATTTACTTGGATTGAATTAATTGAACTGAAAACTAAAAAAATTAGTTCCATTTATTGAAACAGTGCAAACTGTAGCTTACAAGCCTTTGAAAAGTAAATAAAGTGCAGTATTGCAATTAACAGTGCAGAGTTAAAAAGTGCAAAAAGTTTTGAGAAAAAAGGTTTTATAAAAAGATAAACCTCACATATTTCAGCCTTTAAATCATTTTTATAAAAAGAATGAGTCAAAAAAGATAAATTACTGGCATTTAATGCACATTAGCTTATATTTTATTATTAATAGTAAAATTCGGTCCGATTTTCCCGTGGCGTCTGTCGTTGCTAAGCAACCATGCACTGCGCTCTCCACAACGAAAAGCCAATAGAACGTTCCATTGCAACACCAGCGCCCAGCAGCAGCCCTACGCGTCCGCCATTTT